AAATGCATAAAAAAAAGAGTAAAAATTAAAAAAAATGAAACTAATTGAGTCAAGTCTACAAGCTTATCGAGTCGACTGAGCTTGGCAATTTTTTTTTTCAAAACAATTAAGTTACATATAACCGATTTGTTTTTGTAACCAAATCTAATTTAACCAACTTAACCAGCCAAGTCGGGCCAGATTTTAAAACCATGCTTCTAACTTTTGATTTCCTTGCCTAATTACTTGTACGCCACACGTTGATATCACATTTAAAATTTTAAAAAAGTTAAAATAGAAATCTAAAACTAAAAACCAAATTCTCTGAAAAGCAAAAACATTACCTAGTAAAGGAAAAAACTTAATGAGATACAGTTTTAATTTGAACTACTAAAATAAAAATAAGGTTTCAAGACTAGAAAGTGATACCAAACAATTCATCAGCTTCTTGATGTACAAAAATTCATCCAAAGCCGAGGACAAAGATCAATTTTTGCAAGCACCCATTTACCTGTAGTTAACATGCATCTTTTTTTTTTTTTTTTGCTAACGACTTTACCAGCATAGTAATAATCTTTTTTTCTAAATAAAACAAGAGATTTTAGGTATAAGTGTGCGAGTAGAGTGAATAATAGAATGAAAATGTGACACGAACTATAACATTTGAAAAGAAAAAGGTGCACCTGTATTTTCAATGTGGTAGCTATTGTGTGAGAAGAATCCTTACCATTGCCTATCAAACGTGGTGATCAGTCTTCGTAAGGATGGAGATTACAACTGGAAATTTTTGTGGGGGCAAATTCTTTCCCCAATCCCCGTCCCACAGAGAATATATAAGATCCGTCTTTGCCAATATCTTACAAAAAAGGAAAATTTTTTAATAAATTTAAGAAGAATTATCATTACATAGGACAAAAATAATCACTAAATAATATTTAATTATCAATATGCATGAAAAAATTAGTTATTAATATTGCAATTAATTCGAGGAAAACATAGTAAAAAAAGGAAAAATAAAAGGTTACTACATTTTTCTTTTTCTCTTCTCTCCTCTTTTTTCATTTCAATAAATCCCCACTTCCTTCTAAATCTATAAATAAATAAATTTTCACTTTTTTTCCATTCCTACCTTTCTTGTTTTTCAAATTAAACATATTATAAGTATTATGTATAAAAAATTGGACACTAGACAGCGATGTACTGCTAATCATCATAATTTTAGTTTCTTTCTATTACGTGAAATATGCCTTCCAAAAGAAATTAGTTTTTTATTTAAAAATTTTGCTGGGATAGGAATCTCCAACTCAACTCCAAGGGGTCTCATGGGCGAGGAAAAAAATCTCCTGTCCCGCAAGAACAGTAGGGAGGAGTAGGGCATTTTGCTATCTCTAAACCCTTCACCCTACGATTTTGGGAAAATTTACCAAAAAAATATACTTTAGACAAATTTCTAAAAGTAAAACAGTTGAGGAATCAATTTGCCAAAAATACCTATAAAGGTTGTAATATCCCCAAATTTTCTAAGATATTTAAGGGTGAGTTATGGACTTAATTGTGAGAGAATAATGTTTTTGGCCTTAATAATAGAAAATTTAAAAGTTTAGGGACTTAAAAGAGAAAATTGGATAAGGTCGGCAAAAAAATTTCCTTTTTCTTTCTTTCTTTTTCTTCCTCATCCAGTCACGTGTTCTGCTTATCTTCTTCTCCTTCCCGACCTTGCCTCCCGAAAACCTCCCCCACAGCCACCGACGCACTCTTCTTGAGAAAAACCGGTAAGAGCTTGAAGTTTTCTCCTTCTTTCTTGTTCTAGGATTGGAAGTGAACCCAGAAATCCCCCCCCTTCTGCAGATTTTCGGATCTGCTCTGCTCAGCTCTGTCCTTCCGCGAGCTGCTCTTGCCGATGGAGTGCTTCCCGGTTTTTCTGGTAAGGGAACAACTAGGAAATCATCCCTTTAGCCTTAATTCAAGTTGGGTTCACTCTAATTGCTCTTATTTCCTTCAATTTTGTGCTGATTTCTCTCCAATTTTCGGCAGCCTCTCTGACCGCCGGACCCAGCTTTTGCTTGCCGAAAAATTCTGGTAAGTTGCCGGCTCCTCCAAGTCCAATTTATCCATGTAGTTGCTGCCTTGTGTTGATTGGATTTTCTGCTTTTGAATTGCCCTTTTTGCTGTCCGAAAATGGAAGAAATTTAGGTGAAATTGTGCTGGAAGGTGGAATGAATTTTGGTAGCTTTAAGTGGGTTTTTGTTTAATTTAAGTGGAGGTTAGCTTGAGTTGGTTGCTGTGATGTTAATTATGGAAGAATCTTATGACATTCTGTGACTTGTTGTTTTGGCCAAAGCCGGTTTCTCAATGGCTGTCCGTGGAATTGGAAACCATTTATATGTGTGATTGTGTGTATATATATATATATATATATACACACAATCCGATTGTGATGCCCAAAATTGGATGAAATAAGTAAATAAAGAAAAGAAATAAAATTTCCTTATGGGGTTAATTGTCGGTAACATTAGAAAGGATTAAATAGGTAGTTTTTATATGGTTATTAATTCTGGGGTATTTTGATTAGGTTCTTGAGTGTTCTATCACCCTAGCACTTGGCTTGAGTTCCCGGTATTACGGATTTGAGGTAAGTAAATTTATGGTAAAGCCCTTTGATTTTAAAGTATATTTTAAACTGTTTTTGAGATGGTGGCAAGGTTAAATTGATTTTAAATTGATTTTATCAGCATTTGAGTGTGATTAGACTGAAATGAAAATTGGGATATTTTTAATGAGAATTTCCTTGTTTTTTCTGGAATTGAGCATGATTGGAATGGAAATGAGAATTTCATTGTTTTTCTGAAGTAGAGCATGCCACTTAGAACTTACTGAACTGCTCTGATTTTAAGAATTTTTCGTAAATTATGATTTTCTGTTAAATCCATGCCCACATGGGATTTTCTGGTTATTTTTGAAATTTGAGATTTGATGGTGAATTCTTGATTTTTTGGAAATTCTGCATGGTTTTGTCTCTGCTATAATCATGATTACTAACGCCCGTTAGTGGGAGTTTGTAAACGCTAGCACATGTTGACATGTATTTCTGTAGAACCGGTTCACCCTGCTAATGGGGTTAAACATTGGTTATTATTGACGCCTGCCAGTGGGAGTTTGTTAAACACTGGTACTATTACTGACGCCTGCCAGTGGGAGTTTGTTAAACACTGGTACTATTACTGACGCTTGCCAGTGGGAGTTTGTTAAACACTGGTACCATTACTGACGCCTGCCAATGAGAGTTTGTTAAACATTGGCTATGACTTATAGATGAGACTACTGATGAGTTTTATTATGCATGAATGGTTTATCATTGAAAGTTTTGTTATGCTTACATGGTTTATTTGGCATACTTAAATTTTTATCAAGGGCTGTCCATATTTTTACTTACTGAGATATTTTATATCACTTAGTTTTTCTTGTCCACCATTTCAGGTAGTGATACCCGACACGTGGGGAGCCGGGGGAGTGACGAGCTAGACGGCTAGGCATTATTTTGGATTTAGATCTTTTGGAGTTAGGCCGCTAGTCTCACA